AAAAACTTAATAAGTATCCTATGTATTCTTCCAGACTATGTTCTACATCTATGCCAAATCTCAGCGTGATCCAAGCAGCTGTTCTGGAGATACCTTCTAACAAACATCCATCTAAACATTCGCATTTATAATATTAGTAAGATGTGAATGTATTGGCGTGTATTTTAATTAAGCTTTGAACAATCAAAATACTTAGATGTAAGAATGCGAAAAGCGAAAGTGTTAAGACTTATCTTGTACAGTCAGCGTCATATAGATCGTAACAGACAAGATATGCAAATATATAGGTACATCAAAAGTAATCAATTATATCGGTACAACAAAAGTCCTCAAAATAATAGATACATTCACCCTGCTCAAATACATCGGTACATACACAGCGTCAAATATATGAGTACATGCAAGATGCTCATAAATATCGTAGCAGCCACAGCGTCATAAGTAACGAAGCAGTCAAGATGCGCAAAAATATCGGTACATTTGACAAAATTGAACTCTATCTCTACATACTTGTGATACAATTTGGAATAAACTACTACATCTACAAACTACATCAAATTTTTGGTCGATTGCAATAAACATTCCAGTGTGCGTGGGCGCGCACACATATGTAGATAACACTTGTACGTATAGTTTCCGCGCGTACCATTCTTAAAACCCGCAAAGACAATCCACGCTCCGCCCACTCACTTCACCGGCGATGGTCTGACCTAATTGTTGTTAACTTTATTTAAATTTCTTTCTACACGACAGCGAAAATTATAAAAAAAAAATTGTCGAGCAAAATTTTACATTACCAAATTTTTACTGGTTATGAAAAAATAACCCCGTGATTGATAAAATGAAAAAAAAGTAGCCTGAGATTTGAACCGGTAAACTTACATATTACAGCAAACATACTAGAATATTGCGCCAAACTAGTATATATTGTGACAAGGCAAAATTTTATATTAGTACGTATCTGTCATATTCGGCGTGACAAACTTTTATAATATATTTAAGCGTTATGACAGGAGAAGAAAAATATTGGGTTGCCCAGTAAGTTCGTGCCGCTTTATAAGGAAAATTGAAACCCTGTTCTCTTAAATTTTTGGAAATGTTTTTAAATTATATTGGTACGACTCTATACCTAAAATGTCTTTTATTTTTGGCTAAAATTTTAAAAATTAGTTTTTATCTCAACCAATGAAATGAAATTATTCACAATATAGAAATTTTTGTGACGTTTGATAATGGTGGAAATCCGAAAATAAAACCACTTCAGCTACAGTCTATTGTAAGCTTTATATCGAAAATCAGAACGAACTTTCCGGACAACCTATAATGTTAATACAAAGTGTCAAATGAATGTAACAGAAGTAGTTTATTCCAAATTGTATCACAAGTATATAGAGATAGAGTTCAATTTTGTCAAATGTACCGATATTTTTGCGCACCGTGACTGCTTCGTTACTTATGACGCTGTGGCTGCTACGATATTTATGAGCATCTTGCATGTACTCATATATTTGACGCTGTGTATGTACCGATGTATTTGAGCAGGGTGAATGTATCTATTATTTTGAGGACTTTTGTTGTACCGATATAATTGAATACTGTTGGTGTACCTATATATTTGCATATCTTGTCTGTGTCGATCTATATGACGCTGACTGTACTTTTGATGTTAGTACTTATTGAACAATAGATGGCGCTGCGCAAAATTGTATCGTATCATATCTTTAAATGAGCAATTCTCCAACGATTTTCATAAAATTTAGTATATAGGGGGTTTCGGGGGGCGATAAATCGATCTAGCTAGGAATTATTTTTCGGAAATGTCATTTTATTCGTGTTCTATCGATAATCAACTTAAACATAAACTTAACTTTTTCTATCGGTAAGATCGAAAAATATTATTCATATTTCATCATTTTATTAGTAATTCGTACTTAAATATAATTTCCAAAAAACACAATTAAAAAAAAATACCGAGCAAAGCTCCGTCATCCAGATTTTTATATCTTATATATATACATATATATATAAAAGAAAGTCGTGTTAGTTACACTATTTATAACTCAAGAACGGCTTTACCGATATGCCTGAAAATTGGTGTGGAGGAAGCTTACAGCCAGGAGACGGACATAGGATACTATTTATTCATTTTTTTCGAATTTATGCCTTGAACAGCTGCTTTTATTTAACTTACTAATATTATAAATGTGAATGTTTAGATGGATTTGATGTGTGGATGGGTGGGCTACACTAATTAAGTTTTTTATATATCAACGCGGACGGATTCGCGGGCGACGGCTAGTGTGTTATATATATACAATGTAAACCGAAAGTTATTCTATAAAAAACAACTAAACGAACGGAAACGCTTCCGACAGTCATGAATTAAACAACATATTTGACCTCTGGTTAGAGTTTTTTTAATAAGAGAAGGGGGCAAACGAGCGGGGACCGCAGAAGCGTTGCCGGATTTGAGAAGATACGCTTCTTGAAGGAACCTAAGTCGTGGTTTGGACTACAAAGACAGATAACGTGGTGCGAAGATTCGGGTTATTAAGTTCTGTTCACGATTGTCGCAAATTAGTAAGCCTTAAATTATTCGCGTGTTTTTTTAACAACTTTTTAGATTTTAGACTCCCCTTAACTGTCATAACTTTGTACGTATTTTTGGTACAAATATTGAAATTGTCAAATAATATACTTAAATTTAAATTTATTAGTCAGGAATTACTTACATTAGTTATCTTATTTTATTCCTCCCCCTCTTTGTGATGTTTCGTGCTTTATTTTGGCATCCAATCCATTTCAAGTCACGTGATAAATGAACGATCCAGTCGCCTACGCGTTAATCCTGACAGTAAAGAAACACTATGGCAAATTTTTACCCAGATCTGTTTCTCCACTGGTAATATTATAAAATAATCCAACTAAATCTATTCACTTTTTGTTGTCAACACTTCCCGCGCGGTTCTGTTCTATATTTATGTCACTTATATTTTTTTTAATGTAAAAGGCAAAGGCTCTCGGCTATTATGCCACAACCATGGTAGAAAGTTTGATCTACTACGTCCACCAAAGAGTTCTGATATGTAATTATGTATTATAAAACCTTCTTATTAAATATTAATCGATCCAAACACTTTAAATGTATGGATGGATGTTGTTGATATCTCTAGAACGGGAGATCTCGGTGAAATTTGGCCTAGATGTAGAACATACTCTGGTAGAACACGTGAACGGAGTCGTGGGTTACAGTTAGTGTATGTACAATAAATCAAGTAAATCTGCAAGACTATCGCCATGACTATCTAGACTAGATTTAGGGGATTTTGTATAGCTTCAAACTGAAACAGTGGTAGAGCCCGCTTTAACATCTTCGCACGAATTGACCGGGCTCGTCCGGTGAAATACCACGATCACACAGAAGACACGCCTCATGTGCGAAGCAATTCCAACTACAGTCTGATAAGCGTGGGTCCCGGAGGCCTAATTTAGTCCTCTTTCCCTTCCCACCCTTTTTCTTATAAGGAGAGGATGGGAAGTGGACGTGGACTTTCCAGATGAGAGGATGCATGGAAATATTTTCTCTCTGTGCATCCTCTCCTCCGTCGATTAAAGGTAGGCAACGCATATGTAATTGCGTATGTCTATGGGTAGTCACTTCGCTATATCAGCGATTTCACGAAGACGAAAACTTAACTATGACGTGAGTTGTTTTGTTGCTTTTTGTATGCATGTGTTTTCTCTAAGTTGTTAAAAATGTGTCAAAATAAAAAGGTGAAAAAAAGAACTCATAATATCAATTGCAAAAAACTATAATTTAAAATTTCTAACATACGTTCTACCAATCACAATGATTCTATTTACTAGCTAATTATAAAAAAAACATAGACGATAAATACAGTTATAAATGCCAACAAAAATGCATTTTTTGACGAACATAAAAAAACTACAGATAATCAAAAAACATAATTTCCACAGATTAAAACAACAAAAATATAGATTAAAAATGTAACAATTTTGCGATTTACTAATTTCTTATTAACATAAAAAAAAATTAAAATACAATTCGGAATTTAAATAATTATATAAAAAAATTACCAAATATTAATTTTAATATATTTTTGTTACAATTTTTTGGAATATTTCGAATATCATCGATAGAAAAGTAAAATAAAAAAATTCTACGTTTGTATTATGACAGCAATTTCTCTTCGTATTTTGAACGTACTTTATAAATGTTGCTACAATAAAAAATTGGCAGTGATAATAAAATACATATAAAATTATTAAAAAAAAACATTAGAAACGTAATATCATTATTATAAATGCTTTTATTTAATACATAAAAAATTAAATGATTAATTTTTAATCTACAATTTTTGTTTTACTCTTCATACATAAAGACGTAAAGAAGACTATTTTTAATTTTAAAATTCCATGCCAGTTATAAAGATTGAAACTCGATAAGGGGACGTCCAGAAATTACGTGAGGTGTTTTTTTTAATTTTCAAAATGGTGAGATGTCGTGAGATTTTATTCAACCCCCATCCCCCAATCTTACGTGAGATTCCAAAATGTGAGTTTCTTACGTAAACGCGTTGGATTGTCATTGTAAAAAGAATAAAAAAAATGCTTCGAGCTTTTGCTGTTTTTTGTTTTAATCAGAAAAAAAATAGCGTGATATTTGCCGAGACCCTCTCTCTAAAGTAATTAGATGAGATTGGACTCGACCCCCTCCCCCCTTAAACACCTCACTTAATTTATCGACGCCCCCTAAACACTAAAAAATAAGCAGTCGATTTAAACAACTTTAAACTTGTATTTAAGTTATGCGTATTTGATTTTTGACAGCGTAAAAACTATAAAAAAATATTTTTTTATGATCAATAAATATTATTTTGAGCCTTTCTCTATGGCCATACGGTTATCTGTGTTTTTAAAAACTAATTATAAAATCATAAATTCCATAAAAAATAAAAAAAAACAAGAAATAAATTTTCACTTAAAAAATTGATTTAATTTATACCTAATTTATAAAAACTAAAAAGAACATAATTAGTATAAAACCTTTAAAACTTCTGGTGGGATATTTGAGAGAAATCCACAACAGAATTCCGTATGGCCGCCCAGAGTAATTTATCTACAAAAATATAGACGAAGTTATCTGACCCGATGGACCTCTGGAGCTCATTTTCCCTGCAGCCCATAACTGCTGAACGCGAAAGCGTTTCTCACCGGACCAGTTGAGTTAATCAGATCACACATATCTATTATTTTCTTGGCATTAAATACAAATTGAACGTGTCTTTAGGTAATGCAACACATGCCGGCCTTTGTTTCAAATCATCAATTTTTTCAGCTCGTATATCGAATTCTTGAATAATATTAGCGAACATAACAAAGCTCATTGTTGTTACCAAAGTTTGTCCTATGCAAGTTCTTTTTCCGATGCTAAATGGCAAGAAATGCGGAATATTTTTCTTAACTGTAACCAATTCTTTCTCCGGTTCAGTTGTCTTGTTTATCGGAGATCTTTCGCTGTCGGATTCCATACCCGAATCGCATTGTGAATTTCTTCTGACACGTATTTTGTTGCGTTCCAAAAATCTATTAGGATCAAATTTCCCAGGGTTTTCCCAATATTTCTCTGATTTATTTAATTCGTAATTATTTATGAAGACAACGGTACCCTTTTCGACACCGTATCCCGCTATAACAGCAGGTTCGGTTGCTACATGGGGTACGATTGGTGATGAAGCATATCTTAAACATTCTAGTATTGTCGCTTCAGTGTAAGGAAGGTTGATTCTATCTGTGAGTGTAACAGCTCGTTTCCCTTTAGTGATACCATCGATTTCAGCTTTTATCTTCTTACCAACATCAGGATCTCTTGCAACAGCTGCAAGACATAACATGACAAGATTCCCAACAGATGAATGTCCGCCTAAGAAATCTTCTAACATGAAAATTATAGTATTCCTGTCAACATTTGGATCTTCATGTAGTACTCTTAAAAGGCCATCTAGGAAATCTTTTTCTGGTCCTTCTGTATCGAGATTAATCTCCCTATGATCTACAATCCTCGATAATATGAAAGATCTTATATCTTGTGACCAGTTTGATAATTTTTCCATGTGTTTCTTGTAAAACGGAGCCAACCATGGTAGGAAGTCGACTGCGTATCCTTGATTTATCTCCCAGAATATTTCGTCGAAGTGATCGACGATTTTTTTGAATTCAACATCATTTTCTGTATCGAATCTTATGTTGCACATATAATTTGTGAACATATTCATCGCGCTCGACATCAAAAAAGGTTTTATATTAATGCTGCCTTCTGTGTTCCTGGTCACTTGTTTCAATGTATGCAATAATTCGACAGATTCAAATGTAGCCACTGTTCCGATACGTGAGAAATTATCTGTATGTTGCTTTGGACCGCAATGACGACGGGCAAGATTACGTCTTCTCAGTTGAAGATTCGACCAATCACAGAGGGCTAATGCTGTGGACAAAGATAAGATTGCTTCAGAAAAAGAAAAAAAAGATTGTAAAAGATATTTGCAACTAACTATACTGAACTGAGCGTCGGTGGCTCAGGGGTCAAGCACTTGACTTGCAATCTGCAGGTCTAAGGTTCGAATCCCGCCATGTACCAATGTGTTTTTCGATTTCCGATTTACGAAAACATCGTGACGCAACCTGCACATATCTGTGAAGTAATTCAAAGATATGTGTGAAGTCAACCAACCCGCACTTGGCCAGTGTGGTTGACTATGTATTATCACCCTTAACTTAGGGTAGGTTCCGAGCTCCTCGGTGGGGACGTATAGTGAGCTGATGATACTGAAATCTTTTCTAAACAAGTCTAATTCATACATATTTATATAAAGAGGAAAGATATGTTTGTATTGACTAGGTGAAACTAATGAAACGATTTGACAAATTTCACTGTTGGATAACTACACTAACACCGGTTGACTAGCTGTCGCCCGCGAATCTGCGCGGAACTAAAAACATAATTAGTAGCCTATATGTTCTTCCAGACTATGTTCTATATGTATGACAAATTTAATCGAGATCCGTTCAGCTGTTCTGGAGATATCTTCTAACAAACATCCATCTAAAGATTCGCATTTAGAACGTTATAAATTTATTAATACCGATCGAATGAAAACGAAAATCTCGAAAGACTGTATCCTATGACACTCTTTGTAAGTATACGAATCGAATGACACCTCATTTGTCAAAATCTGTTCACTCGTTTACTCTACAGGATGTTACAATTAAACTAATATACAAACCTATATACATAGTAACATAAATATACGTGAATATTGTCCTGAGTTAGTCGAGTAATAATAACAGTATTGTTAAATCTATGGTGTATTGAGTATAGCAACACTGAACGTCTAGCAAAAAGTCTAGCATCTATGTCAGGGATTCTCAAACTTTAAGCTGGCAACACACCTTAAATTTTACTACGCTTTTTGTTACTCATAAAATCTTTTTATGGATCCCCTGCTGCTATATTTCTTAAAGTACATAATTTGAATTTACTAAAAACCACAACGGGAATACTTTAGGAACCATCCATTTAAATACACATAAACTAGCCTTTGTCCAATACTCAGTTTACGCGGATTAAAAAAAAAACTTAATAATCTATGTTTTCCTTCAGACTATGTTCTATATCTATGCCATATTTCATCCATCGAAACATTCTTATTTATAAAATTAGTTACAATAAGATTTTTTTAACTTATATATAATAATATAATACTGGCTTTTTTCTTTCTGTGTTGCCATGTCTATTAAATACTCCATGGGATCAGCAGTTTGCGAATCACTGGTTTAACATAGAGCAAAAAATAAGAAATCACGGTCGGATACTTCCAATGTGATGCAACTGTAATAAGAAGCGAATAAAATTGAAAATGCATCGTGTAATGATGCGGTAAGGCAATCAGTGCGTGAAGGAAAAAGTACATACCACGGCAGAGAGAAATGTTACTCTTGTTTATGGCTTAATAATACACGATTAAAAACTCTTTGGACGGAAAAAGTGCACCTTGGTATCACAGACAACAATTTTAGTGACGTGACGTATCAAGGGAAAGTTTTGGCGGGAATTTGAAGTGTCAAATATTGACAAATTAATTATTATAAATGTAAAAAATTTAAAGTTTGTTTTAATTTGTGAAACGCGTAATTTTATAATTTAAAATATGGCGGCAATAGATTTATAACCTACTAGCTGTCGCGCGTAACATCGTCTGCACTGTATGTGTTCTTCCAGACTATGTTCATCATATATATCAAATTTCATCCACCCAAACATTCTCATCTATATATATAAAAGAAAGTGGTGTTAGTTACACTATTTATAACTCAAGAACGGCTTTACAGTTATGCCTGTAAATTGGCGAGGAGGTAGCTTAGAGCCAGGAGACGGACGTAGGATACTATTTATTCATTTTTTTTCGAATTTATGCCTTGAAGAGCTGCTTTTTATTTAACTTATCTATATATTAAGTTTTTAAAAAATCCACGCGGACGGAGTCGCGGGCGACAGCTACTTTATAATATTAGTAAGAAGTAACATTACGAAAGCTTTTGAAAGTGCGTTCGTAGAAAAACTATTCCAACTAAACATGTTAATGATTTTAAAAATAATTTAAACACTAACAATGTCACGCATAATTTTCCCGCGCATTAAAAAAATCTATGTCAAATAAAAATTACGTTAATACCTCGTGATTGGTATAATGTTACACGCTGACAATGTAAATAGGAAGAATTAAATACGGTAATATCATTTTACTGACATCTAGGACAACTCATAGGCATTTATTTGTGAATAGCTGACGACTACGTCTTTACCCGCGTGCATAATAGTCTATGGTTTCCAGATTAAAATCATTCAAGCAACAGAGTAACGCATAAATAACATTTTAAAAATAATTTCAGAACGGAACATAGAAAAATAAGCTTATAAAAAAATCTTACTAATGGATGATGGATGTTTCTTTAAAAATATCTCCGATACGGCTCAATGGATGTTGATAAAATTTGTCATACATATAGAACATAGTCTGAAAGAACGCATAAGCTACACTAATTAAGTTTTTCTATGTATCCACGCGGACGGAGTCGCGGGCGACAGCTAGTAATCTAATAATTACTATTTACGATTACTAATCTACTATTGGATGCTTGTTCTAGAGATATCTTCAAACACCCATCCATCCATGTCACATCGATCTTAACATTCGCATTTAAAATATTAGTAAGGTAAACAAAAAGCAGCTCTTCAAGGCATAAATTCGAAAAAAAAAAGAATAAATAGTATCCTATGTCCGTCTCCTGTCTCTAAGCTACCTCCTCACAAATTTTCAGGGATATCGGTAAAGCCGTTCTTGAGTTATAAATAGTGTAACTAACACCACTTTCTTTTATATAAATTAGATCATCGACGTCAAACTTAAACATCAACCTTACTTACTTTTAAAACTTGTCAAGGTTAAAAAATGCTGATGCTACTTAGGCATAGTTTAGTTGCCTAGTATTAGGTTACGTGAAATGCATGATGCAATATTATAAGGCGCCAGTGCGTTTTTATTTTTATTATACGTGCATCAGTATTATATTACGGTGATGTCCAAATTATGAGCGACAGCGGATTTACTCTGACTCTGATCTCCGTATGAAATATCTATCTCTTTTTTATCAAATATGAAAGACAGGGACGACTATATGTTTTATACAGAGATTTTGATGGCAGAATACTGGTAGAATTTATGTGTGCAGAATTAGAAAAAAAGAAAAGAAAAGCGTCTCATGTTACTCGAGACTATGTTCTATATCTGTGCCAATTTCAATGAGATGTTGCGGAGCTATCCACTAAATATGTAAATCTAACATATACTACATAAACCGTACTTATATACCGGATTCTTATGTAGACTATGTGTCCTTCCAGACTATGTTCTACATGTATGCCAAATTTCAGCAAGATCAATACAGCCGTTCTGGAGACACCTTCTAACAAACATCCATCTATCAAAACATTCACATTTATAACATTAGTAAGATAAAAGTAAATTTTGGGGAGACATAACGAACTTCAAAAACGTATAGACCTGACGCGCACAATCACGTGACTTATCCAAACTTACTGTCAGTTCTATACATTTTTGAAGTTCGTTTTGGAATCGTTTCGTATCGAATACACTTTGTCTAACCCCTACATCGAACCCGTTAAAGCTAATTGAGATTAACTCAAAGGCTCTTCCTCCATTTGCCGCGATCTGCAACGTCCCACCAAACGATTGCGATCTTGATGGGCAAGAATTAGTAGAGCTCTAAACCCATGACTGTACCTGTGTAGAAACGGACTCTCCGCATTTTGTCTAACCCCCCTGATCGTTACATCAGTGGCAAACTATTTATCTGTTCTAAAACATTAGAAGGTACGAGAATCTTATCTACCCGCTTCCTCTTATGAATTATACCAAACCATCTATATCTTAATGTTTTTAGGTGTAGGTTTACAAGGGTGTCCTAATTTCTTAGGTCACGCACAGGATATGTGTCACAGGAAAGGTCTAGATCTTAACCATTAATATCACATATCAAAGAATGACTAACTATGTTAATTTTTAGGCTGTCTATATTATGATAAATAGATTTTATTATTTGCATTGAGTAGTGTACGGAATTACTTATCCGATTGGAAAAATTCTTTAACTGTTGGGAAGCTACGCTATCCCCTAGTGACATAGACTATTTTTTTTTATTTCGCGAAGACGAAGTCACGCGTATTTCTTGTATTCAAATACGTTTAATATATTATTATAATTGCTTAAAAGGTGTAAAATGAATTTATGTAAGAACTTGGTTAATACGTTGGTTAGTTTAAAAAAAAGGTGCCATATTCTTTGAAATTTACTAAAATTAATTATAAAACTTATGAACTTTCATAATAGAGGACTTTTTAATCTATACCATAAAAATGAAAAATGCATAGATAATATCAAAGACGAAGTTGCGTGTTGCATTCTGCCAGGTGTATTGTGGACTTGGGCCCTGTAGCGTGTGTTGTCTTTGCATTGGAAATTTAAAAAAAATATATAACGTCAAATGACGTTTATTGGCGGTGAAAAGTTGAAGTTAAATTTTAATTATTATTGAAATAAACGACAGTCGATTTGTGTTTTTAATTATTTCGTGATTTTATAAATGTTTTTAGTGAACGGAATAAAATTGATGTTTAAAATGGTGAGTGATATTTGATTTTTTTAATTTGACTATTGGAACGTAATAAATTGTTTACGCTGCAAGACTTTTTTAAAAGTAGCTTTTAATTTGAAAATTTAATAAACTTAATTTGATTTTTTTTACATAAATTTATCAAAATTTCTATTATAAATAGTAACATAATAATTTGATAATATTTTATAGTATTAAATCGAGAGTATTAAAGCTTCTTAACAGACTTAAATTCCTAGGAATTGTTAATAAAAATATTATTTAACAATTACGACAGTTGGAATAGTTTTTTTTGGCAGGAAAATTTAATATAATATTTTATAGCAAGAAGAAATATTATTAGAAATAAAAAAAAAATAACTTACAGTTATTTCTGTCACCGGCGAAGAGTTTGTGAAACCTCAAAAAGTCTGGTCTGCCTCCGAAGAATTTTCCATTCTGATTCAACACCTCTCTTATCAATTCCAAGTTATTGACAACCAAACACTGGCTACTTCCTAGTTTTATACTAAAAATGTCGCCATATTTCTTCGCTAGATCCGTAAATGCCTGGAATGGTGATTCTCTTTTACCCAATAGATGTAAACTGCCGATGAAAGGCAAAGGTATCGGTCCTGGTGCTTGCTGAAACTCTGCCAATACTGTATACCCTTGTTTGGTTGTTTTCAACGCGATAGTTCTTCGCGTAAACATTTTATATACCACTAGGGCGATGATAACAATTATTAAAAGCGCACTCATGATGATTTTTTTATTTTCCTAAAAAAGAAATTTTTTATCGAGTGGCTACTAGACACTGGTTTGACAGGAGTTTTGGCGGGAACCAGGAGCGTTCGCCGGCCGGCACTGCGTCAGCTGGGATGGCAGTAGACATTTTATACGGCGGCCATTTGCATTTTAGGACTGCGCCCCGTTTGACAGTTGTACAACTAAACATAACTAAAATGAACCTTATCGTATAGGAATAAGGTTTATACAAGTGTAATATATAATTTTGTCTTATTTCGTATGATCGAATATTTCGGTTGGTCGATGTTTTCGATTTGAAAAAAAACGTATGAAACAAACAAATTTATAAATCAAACTAATATTTATCAAATGAATTTATCGCTTTTATGTTTTACTAGCTGTCGCCCGTGACTCCGTCCGCGCGGTATGAAAATAAACTATTGGTTGCAGCATAATGTTATAGACTAAAGCCTTCCTATATAAATGGACTAGCCAACAAGAAAATATTTTTTTAAATCGGACCAGTAGTTCCTGAGATTAGCGCGTTTAAACAAACTCTTCCGCTTTATAAGTTTAGATTTAAGGTTTATATTATTTTTAAGTATATAGCTTCATTGAAAAAACTATTACGATTGGAATGATTTTGAAACATCGAGAGTCAAATGATGTTTTTTTTACGATCGTCCACTTTTTGTTATTTAAAATTTTAATACAGATTACGTGGGACGATAATACTTTAATGTTACAGCAATTAAAATCTACTTTTAATTTTCTATCTTACTAATATGCGAATGTTTAGATGGATGTTCGTTTGAAGGTATCTCCAGAACGGATCGCGATGAAATTTGGCCTACATACTCGGATGGAGACACGGGCGACAGCTAATATAAACGATATAGCAATTTGAAAGCATATATAATATTATTTGCACTTACAATTTAAAACTAAAGCACACCACAACGTTACATCTTACTAATATTATAAAAGCCAATTAGATAGATGTTTGAAGATACCAACGGTTGAACTGATCGCGATGTTTTAAAATACATGTAGAACATAATCTGGAAGAACACATAGACTACTAATTATGTCTTTTTAAGTCTGTGAAGTGGAGTGGCGGGCGATTGCTAGTAATATTAGAAATGCGAAAATTTAGATGTTTGTTAGAAGTTATCTCCAGAACGGTTGTATGGATCTTCATGGAATTTATCATACACGTAGAACAAAGTCTGGAAGACTGGAAGACTGGGTCACTGCTAGTATTATTATATGCGAAAGTTTAGATGGATGATTTTTAGAAGATATCTCCAGAACTGCTGTATGGATTTTGATGAAATTCGCCATACATATAGAACATAGACTGAAAGAACACATAGACAACTTATTATGTTTCTTAAAACAACGAACGCACGGAGTGGTGATCAACAGCCAGTACAAATATATGAATGCAGTATAAATATAGTCAAAACTGGATAAGCGAGAGACAAAAGAACCGCGATATATTTCTCGATGTCTCACCAGTACGAGGCTAGAGCTATCCTCCCCAGGGTGGAGATTCCTAGCTTGCATTGCACGGTGTTGCCGAGGAACTGCTAACCCGCGCCCTTCTAGGAACGCAGCGATGCCCTTGTTAAGTCGGTCACTGGGCGTCATGGTCGCATATATATGCTTCATAATACAACTAGTTGTTGCCCGAGACTCCGTCCGCGCGGTATTAAAAATAATAAGTAGCTTATGTGTTTTTACAGACTATGTTCTACATCTGTGCAAAATTCCATCAAGATCCGTTATGCCGTTCCGGAAATATCTTTAAGCAAACATCCATCTAAACATTCGCATTTATAATATTAGTAAGATGGCGTACCACATTATGTGTGTAAGGGAACAGATCTAGGGGTTAAAGTCACTGTTCTTTTCCAGTAAGCGCTAGAGATGGGGATGAATCACAATTACCTATCTTGCCTCCCCCGGGACATTGCGCATGCATAAAACATTCCTATCTGAAAAAAAGGCTCGAGCCCCCAAACACGTGTTTGAGCTGACGTCATTGTACAGATCAACACAGATGTTTGACCCGGTGTGCGTCAAACTAAATTATGATAGCTCACTAACACCCTCATGTCAATGTCAAAAAACTGTCACGAGATCCTTATCAGTTTAAGGGCCTTTTTTATTGATAGGCTAGTGAGCTGTCGTTTATGAATTTTGCATCCATAACGGTCAGTTTTTTTTATCATTTTCTATACCTAAGTAGGTATAAAGTCAGAGAGAATCGGGAGAACATGGCCTCACCGGGTCAAACAAGTTTGTAGGTCTATATAATGAGATTATAAAATTATTCGCGTACAAAGACTTGATATAACACTCGTCTTACGATCTTCTACGTCAGAGCTTATATTAAAGAGGGCGTGTTGTATAAATTGTTTTCATTTTAAAAAAGATTTTACACGAAAAAAGTACATTAAAATGTACAACGGACGCAAGCGACGTAAAGGATGTCTTATTAAAAAAAAAACTTGTCCTCTGTTGCCTAAAGCTGTTGTATAAAAAAACAAAAAAAAAACTTAAATTACTCTCGCATATCGAATGGAACTTATATACGTAGTTTCAGTTTGGAAAAAATAACATCCTGTACTCATAGTTATTATTTTTTATATTATAAGGTTGTTAACAAGTAAGCGGCCACTTTGCTCGAAAAGCTAAGCGATCGCTGCCCATAGACATCCGTAGAGGAGGCTAGCAACAACAAGAGTTGCAGTCTGTACCTCGTTCGCTGCAACACGACCTCACAGAACACACGCCTCAAATCACAACTTCTTACAAGTGCACTCCGATGAGTGTGCGTGCCTGAGGACTCATTTTACTCCTCTTTCCCTTTCCACCTATTTCTTATCAGAAAAGGATGGGAAGGGTATTTGATGGGAACGCATAGGAAGGGGGAAACTCTTTCTGTACGTCCTAGGTCCCCCTTCTAGGTTAAAGATATGCGATTGCGGATGTCTATGGGTGGTTTCGCTATTTCAGCAAATTTAGGTAGCCGCTTGCTCGTTTGCTACTTCTTACTAATGTTATAAATGCGAATGTTTGGATGGACGGATGTTTGTTTGATGGTATCACCAGAACGGCTGAATGGATCTCGCTGAAATTTGGCATAGATGTAGAACATAGTCTGGATGAACACATAGGCTAATCGCGGTTTTTTTTTTAATTAAGTGCAGATAGTGTCGCGGGCAACAGTTAGTTATGACGTAAAAAAGTAGGAACGAAAGATACGATTTACCGTTAGTTACGGTTTCCTTGACTTTTCCGTTATTCCTTTAACGTATACGAAAATTAACAAATTGGGCCATTTCGACATCCCATTTCAAAGAAATCGAATATTTTCGAAGTAAGGAAAAATTTATCATTTTCCTTACAATTGTTGCATTGCGAATGTTTAGATGGATGGATGTTAGAAGGTATCTCCAGAACGGATGTATGGATCTCGTTGAAATTTGACATAGATGGAGAACATATTCTGGAAGAACACATAGGCATAGTTTATTTTTAATTCCGCGCTGACGATGTCGCTAGCGACAGCTCGTTCGTTAACAGACAAAATTTAGATTTTATTAAATTTATTATATTACGATACTATCACACCCTTCAATAAAGTACAACATTAATATACATACAAAATTTATTCAATACTTCATAGACGTCAAAAATTAACATAAAACGGACTCTATGACGTCATACTCCGCCATCTTGTTTTACGTGTTGCCAACCGCTGTTAGTTACGACCAATATTTTTCCATACAAATACGATTTCCTGCGTTATTTATAGTTCGAAGTTTGAATAGAAGAAAAAAAAACATTGAATAATTCAGATGTCCACGAATTTTTTAATATTGCCCTATTTGGCGAGTACAGTTACGTGATAAAGTGTTGTAAGGAACGATATTTGTAACACTTTTCTATTTGTCTGTAAAATAAAATTCGTGTTATGGTTAATGAGATTTAAGGTACGTGTCCGTTATCCCGCGCCGGACGCACCGTACGGCTCGCAACGGATTTTAATTTGCTTTGTTTAACAAAATGTTTTGGGTTGGGGGAATCTTCGTAAGATACCCTACCCTAGCCTTTTGGGGGAAAGACAGGGTTATGTGGGATTCTTACTCCCTGTAACCCTCTCATTGCGACTGCGAGGGTCCCGTGATCTCCAAAGGAACGCACCGGAACCATAGAGCTACATCTATCATTCGCTGCATCGAAACGCATCTGCAATTACGGTATGCAACGGTCGCACTATTTCAGCGATTTCAGGTGGCTGCTTGTGTGCCACCTCATGATATAAAAAAAAGTAATTTGTTTGTCTACCTTATTATGTATGCGTCGTGAAGATACCGTATGATTTCTAACGGTATGTTGATTTTCAGCTACGGATATTTATTTATGTATTTAGGTTGAATACATACAACGAAATATCGGTTCCTTGTATGTCCTATACGAGATAGGCTCTGGATTTCTACGCGTTTTGTATAAAACTAAATTCAACTCTCTATGACATGTTTTTTTATCTATCCGGCTCGAAGGACCATTTTATGATGCAATGATGTCCGATAGCTTTAAGGTGAAAATCAAACAAGCACATTTTTATATCATAAGGTGGTAAACGAGCGAGCGCCCTGAAATCGCTGAAATAGCGATGGAACCTTTGCACTGACATACGCAATTGCAGATGCGTTGCCAACCTTTGATCGACAGAGGAGGTGATGCACAGAAAGTGAACATTTTTCTTTCCCATGCATCCCATCATCCGGAAAATCCACTTCCACTTCCCATCCCTTCCTTATAAGAGGGTGGGAAGGGAAAGTGGACTAAAATTAGGCCTCCGGGACTCACACTCATCAGACTGTACTTGGAATTTCTTCGCCAATTCGTGCGAAGATGTTAAAGCTGGCTCTACCATTGTTAGAAACTCTACTACGTATTCTGTCCCTCTTCTGTCGTCGAGCGATTGAAGACTTTCAGCTTTTAGTCCCTTCCCCGTCTCTATCAATATTTTTTACAAAGAAATATTTTTCCTGTTTATGTTGAATTGTCGATTAGTATCCCAAGGTCCACTT